ACCAGAGTTCCTTCCATGTGTATAGTGGTTTTTTATGTTGTTTAAAAGAGGTATTTGCAATGAAGAAGTCATTGGTCTTGCAAAATTCTGTCATGAAATCTCCAGCATTGTTTCTTTCTCCAAGGTCTTATTTTTTTATGACTGATCTTCTTCCTTGTTTCCAGCGTTTGCATTCTAATCACCAGTAATTATCAATGAATCTTTTTTTAACTTTTTATTGTAAATTGAGTGAAGGTTAACAGAGAAAATCAAGAGCTCTGCTTTCAACCAGTCGTATAGTTTGTTTCATCTAAATGATTGCAATCCCTTCCTGCAACAACAGTTATCCTGCTTCCTCACTATGACTTCCTTCTTACATCATATTTTTCACAAATTAACAAAGCAAAAATATTTGATGTACACATACAAAACAAAAATGTATATATTCATGTATATTCAAGAGAACATATTTTACAGCTCAGCCTCTTTGCCTGCAGGCACACAGCCTTTCTCAGTCCATGGGCCTAGAGTCCTCAGCTGCTCTCTCTCTCTCCATGCCTCTTCCATCACCTCTGCTGTCACTGCTTTTCTAGCTAGGACCTCACACTCCACTCATAATCTTCCTTCTTGATGGCCCTGGGGTCGTCTCTTCGTGAAATGAAAGATTACCTACTCCTCTCTTTCAGTTACACATCTTCTACAATTACAGTTGTGACTATCACAATTAATCCTGCTAACGGTTACTCACTATTGAATCATAAAATCCTATGACCATCATTCCCCCATCCATTTTCACTAGATCCATCTGGGAAAGAGGAAACCTATTCAATGGGGAATATGCCTTACCCTCCTCATTTTGAAACTGAGCACACTCATGAAAGATTTTAAGCCAACCACTTCATGCTTCTTCTCCCCCTACCCCTTTTTTTCTTAAGTGAAAGGTTTACTGGCTAAATAACATTTGAAAATCACTAATAAAATTAATTCGCCGTATTTTACAGATAAAAAAATGAGGTCCAGAGGAATCTGATGTCTTATTCAAGATCATAAAAGCAGTTAATATCAATTGCAAAACAAGAATTTTACTAATTTTGCTCCCTATATTGAGATTCATCTCTCCAGTTGTTCCACAAACATTTCCTGCCTCAAGTTTTTTGTGAGTTTATGTTAACAGAGTAAAAAGTTTTGAAGTTTCTGGTAAACGCTCATGACTGGGTTCATATTAAAATTTCACAGGTGATCCAACTGACTGCTACCATGCTCCCAAATCAATACACTTTCAATATGAGGATATCAGGAAACTCTCTGCTAATAATAGTTCTGACACGTAGGCATAGGTATGACAGGTTTCAGTTTCTGTTCACTTTTAAGTTTTTCCTACCCCTTTTACAATTAATTATACAAGGTTTAGTGGAGAGTTTCTTGAAGGCTTACTTATCTAGGAAGAAACTCTAAAGTACAAATGCATGTTGGTACTAGAAGCTTATGCTTTATAATTACAAGAAGCCTATAAGAAATCTTTTGAATGACTGCATCTGGCTTTATGCAATAAAAAGTACAAATGAATAAAAATCTTAGTATATCGTCCCCCATTTTTTTTTTTTTTATCAATTTCAGACTAAAGAAGGATGTAGAATTTTTCCGTTTCATCATCATTAGCTTTAGTGGTTAGTGCCTGTTTAAATAATATGTTATTAATTGGTTTTCTGTGTTGTGGTGATTGTTAAGTGCTGTGGAGTTGGTTCCAACTCATAGTGACCCTGTATAGGATTTCCAAGGAGCAGCTGGTGAGTTTGAACCACTGGCTTTGCAGTTCAAACCAACCTTATGGTCCAGAGCGTATCCTACAGCACCAGGCATATGGTTTTATCCTATCATAGATAGCGTTATACTTCAAGAAACATCTGAAATATTCTTTTTGATGATGAATACTGCTATTCCTCTTGAGTTTTGTCATTCTGGCATAGTAAACCATATGCTTGTCAGATTCAAAATGACCAATCTCAGTCCATTTCAGCTCACTAATGCCTATGATACCATCGTTTTGTGTTCCATTTCAGTTTTTGACCATTTCCAATTTTCCTAGGTTCAGACTCCATGCTTTCCATGTTCTGATGATTAATGGATGTCTGCAGTTGTCTGTTGTCTGTTGTGCATAAGTCAGAACCAGCTCTATGGCACACTACCAAGAATAACAGTTTGCTTTTTTCACCCTTTTTTCCCTTTAGCATCGTTTTTCTCCACCAGATCAAGAATTACTTGGTACTGTCAGTTCCCAAGCCTTTTCAGGATTCTGTAGTGTAAACTATAAGATCAACTTTCTAGTTAACAACTCCCAAAATTTTGCTTTTTGTCTTCTCTCCTGATATCTCTGGATATGTCTTTATATGAAATTTACTTTATAATTTCAGGTAGAAATTAAATAGAATTGCAGATATTCAGGTGTGACACTGTAGGATAAGCACTGGACTGCAAGGTCTATTTGATCTGCAAGGTTGGTTCAAACTCACCAGCTACTCCTCGGAATCCCTATACAGGGTTGCTATGATTAGAACCAACTTGACGGCACTTAACAACAAATACAATGTCTGAGCTTGAAACAGCCAGTATTTTTTGTTGCTGTTCAGGGTCGCTATGGGTCGGAACTGACTCGACGGCACTTAACAACAATAACAACAACAA